AGTGGGGCACAGGACAGCTGTGCCATAGCCCCTCTGGCCATGGAGCTGAGCTACTGGCATGATAGAGAGGATGGCTCCCCCAAAAAACTGGGACGACGTGATGCAGATTTCAATGGAACTCTCACCCTCCAAACGTGGTCTGCAGGGAAATTCCACTGATTATTTTCTTTCTCTGACTCTGTTTGATAGATGAACTAAGTAGGAGAGAGTGAAGAGGAGAAGCTAAGCCTCATAAGCTGCTCCACTGACTGCTGTGGGTCTCCATTCTGATTTCCCACTCAATGTTTTCAAAGACACAAATACTGCTCAATTTAAACACATAATACACAAAGCCAAGAACTTCTTTTGACAGGTTGTCTTAAAAAGAAAAAAAAAAAGAAAGAAAGAAAGAAAGAAAAAAAGAGAAGGGGGATTCTCAATTTTAACTACATTTATCTTAACACATTACACACATGGAAATCCCATGGGGACAAAAGAGGGGTCACCAGACGTGGGGACACACAGCTGCCATGGGGCTTGGAGGCAAGAGTGCAGTCAGAATCCAGGCCCTGCCAGCATGAAATCCTCACAACACACAGAGCCAGAACCTCCCAGCTTCAGCAAAATACAGAGAGCCAGAAAGCAGCTCCCATCTGTAATAATTACAACAGAGTTTCCCTTGTCCTTGCTCTATTTATTGCTTTTGCCCTTACCATGTGTTGCCTGAGACAGAAGAGGCTATTAATGATCAGAATATTTCTTTGTGGACAGTCAGAGCTTTGGTGGAAAACTCCCTCATTCTCTCAAACATCGCCACTTCTTTTAGACGAGGAACAAGTTGGTTTACACTGCAGATTGAATGAGGCATTAAATGACTGCGTTGCAATGACTGCAGTGGGGGGAATGGTCGCCTCCGGTGGAATTGGAAAGCTGTAATGACACCTTCATAAAGGCACAATAACTGTTCAAGTATCCTTGTCTAATTTGTCACAAAAGTTGTCTGGGACTTTTCTCTCCTTTATTTTTCAGAGGGGGAAAAGGTGAATATCAGGAATTATGGCCAAGGCTGCACAGAGGCAGACAGGAGGGCACTTGCCAGCCTCGCTCCCAAATCTTCACCAACTGCTCAGCTCCACGATGGCTTTTTGCAAGGAAACAGCTCGCATGCCAATAATAATAATTATTAATAACCGAGTGACGTCCCATTCTCGGTTACATCAGTGCCATACTCTGAGCCAGAGCTCCTGCCAATCACCCCCCTCCCCTCCCCCCCCCAACAACCACGACCACCAGCAGAGTGGAGGCAAAGGCTGCCGGGGGGGATGGGGTGGGGGGCTGGAGAGGGCAGCGTTCGGGAAGTAATGGCCAGGGACCGTGTTTAAGTTTTGCCCGGGGGGGACATAGGCACCGGGGGGTGACATACATGACATACATAGGGTTTCCAGCACGGCCAACTCACACTTCCCCCCTCTGCACGCCCGCAGGTGACAGCAGGGGAGGTGATGCCCCCACCTTCGGGAGCCGAGCGCCGGACGGGGGCGGTGGGAGCGGAGCCGGAACGCAAAGAGGCACCCCCGGCCGCCCCGCTGCCCCCATTTCTCCGCCCAAAGCTCCCAAATTCGGAGGCAGCCGCTCTGCCGAAGGAAAAGAACGGGCGCCGCTCGTGGGCGTTGGGGAAAGTTGCGCTCCGGGGAAGCGGCAGTGCAAGGTCAGGGCGGGCGGTGCAGCCCCACCGGTCCCCGAAAGCGGGGAGTGAAGAGGTCGCTTCTCACAGCCGGCTGAGAAGGATCAAACCTCTGCGATTTGCCCCTTTTCCCCGCCCCGTTCCCCAATCTTTTTCTTTCTTTCCTTCTTTCTTTCTTTCTTTCTTTCTTTCTTTCTTTCTTTCTTTTTTTTTTTTTTTAAAGGGGAGCCAGGTGCACGCTCCCTGCCGGTACCCCACGTCGCTCCCTCCTCACTCAAACGAATGATGCAGCACTTTAATTAGGAGGGAGCGTCGCGTCCATATTGCACTGGCGAAAGAGAGCGGTGGAGCCTGGCAGACATGGTGCCCGGTCGCGGGCGCGGAAGCTGCGCCTCTGTCCGCGGAGAGCGCGGCGAGGCGGCGGGAGGACCCCCGGGCGTTCCCCGCAGCCTCTGCAGCTCCGCCCGACAACTTCGCGATGCCGAACCGAGGGTGCAGTTAAGTGTTCTCCCGGCCGAGCACTGGGGGAGTTGGGGTTCAAGGGATGGGTGCGGGGATACGCGGAGCTGCGTGTGCCCGGGATGAGCGTGAGCGGGTGCGGGAGGGGGGGATGCGCGGGACAGCGGTGATGCGGGAGGCTCCGGGGACAGGAGGGGGACATCAGGGATACGGGGGACATCGGGTGCCGCGTCCCTGACCTGACCTATCTCGGAGGGAACCCGCGGGTGCCACTCAGGGAAGGCACAGCCCGCGATTCCTTCCGCGCATCGCGCGACTTTGAGCTCCGGGCGGACACGCCAAACCTCCCGCTGCGCTGCGCTCCCCTCCGCGGATCCTCCGCGGGCCGCGCCCCTTCCCCGCCCCGCAGCCCCGTTACCTGCCTGCGGCTCTCCGGGGCGGCCAGGTGCCGGCCCCTTCGCCTCCGCGCAAACTCCGCGCATGGGAATGCGCCCCGTCTTGCGCCGAGAGGAAGGATGCGAGAGGTGCCGCGTGTCCTCCGCCGCCAGGTTTTGGGCTTTGCTTCCTCGGAGGGAGGGAGGAAGGGAGGCTGCTGGGTCCTGGAGAAGCTGCGGGGCCGGACGCAGCGGGACGGGCAGCAGCGCAGGGAGCAGCGGGCGATGCGCGGAGAGCGGAGCGGGGCGGAGCGGCCGAACCGGGACAGCTCTGCCTTCCCCGCCGCATCCTCGCAGTCAGGGCATCTCTGATTTCCGTCAGTTTTTTATTTTTATTATTTAAAAGAGAAGGGGTTGCCAATTGTGACCTATCCCGGCGGCTTTTTCCTCTCTGATTCTTCTTGCTCTTTTTTTTTTTTTTTTACCTCCCCCATCTGCTCATTTCCCACTTCCTCTCCGCCAGCCAGCCCCCTCCTTCCCTCTTTAAAAAAAAAAAAAAAAAAGGCAGGAAAAAAAAAAAAATGTATAGTCAGGGCTTCCCAAATGCGCGCCCCCGACCTGGTGCCAAGCGCGCCCCCTCCATTTGTTCCCCTTCTTGAAGCTCATTTTCATGACGTGGAAAAGCCTGATCCAGGGCAGCACCGCGCACACACACACACACACGCACCGCACACACCGCACACACCCGGGAAGGAGCGCATCTGACACCGCCGCGCCCCGGCGCTCCCGCTCCGCGCTGCCCGGTGAAGGCGGCGGCTGAAGCCTGCAGCAGCAGCCCCTCCGTTCCCTCCTCCATTGAGTGTGCCAAACAGCAGCTCTGCATCCTAAAGAAGATCATTGAGGGGCTCATTGCATTCCCAGCACGTCGCAGGCTCGGTTCTTTTTTTTTTTTTTTTTTTTTTTTTTTTCCTTTTGCCTCAGCTTCAGCAGGAGTGGAGAGAGGGAGAGAGGCAGAGGGAGAGGCTGAGGGAACAGCAAGCTTTAACCTCGGGCTTTTTCCCCCCCTTCCTCCCCCCCCCCTTTTTTTTTTTTTTTTTCTGTAACGATGTGCTAAAATCTCTCCTGCAGACCGGTAAGTACGGCTTTCTGGATCTTTTTGTTTTCGCGTAGGGTCAGAGACACCCCCTCTCCCCAAAAGGAGATATAATAACCCTCTTTATTTATTATTAGTATTAGTATTACTGTTATTATTATTATTTTATTACAGAAGAGGAAGAACTTAAGTGGCTATTTTTGCAAAGGAGACAGAGAGACTGATACTGCAATAGAGCTCTCATCTCTCTCCCTTCTCCCCAATTAGATGCTGGCTTTAATTGCAGAGGGTATTTCTCTTTTCATGCTTCCAACATCTCTTTCCCACAGGGGAGGGTTTCATTTGCAAGTTGATCTGAAGGATTTCTTCTCCTTTAGCATTTCTCTCTTCGAAACGCATCTTTCTGCTCTTAAGTTTGGGGACAGGGGTGGGGGGAGTGGGGGCAAAACGTTCCAGTTCTCACGCGTGGAAAGCAAAAAGGACCTTTTCTGTTGGGAGATTAAGACTAAAAGCAGTGATCGCTCCGAATAATTCCAACGGGCATTTCAGGGATTCAAGGAAGGCTGCATCGCCACCGCTATTCTCGCCGCCCTTAGCATTGCTCTGTGCCCATACATTTAAAATATCGGGTGGAAGGATGGGGGAAACCGTATGTTGAAGGAACTGCATCTCATTAGTACAGTATTATTTTCATCTGATTGGAGAAGAACGGTGCCTTCATTCGGAAGCGCATATAGTAGGATAGATAATTTACCAGCTGGTAAGTGCCAAGGCATTTTCTCTTCCACTTTCAGCTTTCTAACCGGGTCTCCTGCTTGGTGCTGGGGCACAGAACAGCCTACCCCGAGGCAGGCTGAGTGCTCCATCCTGGCTGCCTCCGAGCTGTCACTTCCCCTTAGATCTGCTGATCGCATGGGCATGTGCTTTAGCAAGATTAATCATCTCTAAACGCTTTAATCAGCTAAAATGACTAATATGTGGTATGTATCTATCTATGATAATTTACCAGCTGCAATAATGTTGTGGTAGTGTTTGGATGGGGAATGTTTTCCTTTAGATCAGGGTTGTTAACCATTTGCTGCTTTAAAGACATTGTGGGGGTGCCAGAAGGGAAGCGTTCTAGCAGGGACATCAGCAAACCTCCCATTCCTCCCAACTTACCTACAGAATGCATGGAGCTGGCAGGGAGAGAGAATGAAGGGCTGGAATTCGATAACTTTGGGAGTTTGCATGGATGAGAATCATAGAATGGCCTGAGTTGAAAAGGACCAAAATGATCATCTAGTTTCAGCCCCCCTGCTATGTGCAGGGTCACCAACCACCAGACCAGACTGCCCTGAGTCACATCCAGCCTGGCTTTGAATGCCTCCAGGGGATGGGGCATCCACAACCTCCTTGGGCAACCTGAGAGCTGTAGTGCAACAGCAGAGAATCCCACTGATGAGATATCCCTGTATCCATGCGGGCAATGATGGCTCTAAGCCTTGCAAACAAGTAGCAACGACGTGTGGTTGTGAACGCTGGTGCTGTGGTGGAACACACGCAGAGAGGCAACACGTCCTGCTGTGTGCTCGTGTTGCTGTAGGGTCTGCATGTGCTCTCCTCGTTATATAGGTGGCACCTCCTGGGGGGCGGAGGGAGGCTGATATCGCGTGATTAAACCTTTAACATCTCTTAGGTATAAATCAGGGCAAGGCTCGCGCATCTGACACCCTCAGAGCGTGTTGTGAACATCCAGCCAAGCACTGCTGAACTTTGCAGGAGTCTGACACAAGTCTGGCAGGTAGGGGCTCGGTGTACGGAGTGGGGCAGGACAGGGGTACTGAAAATCTGCATTTTGTTTCCCATTGCAGTTTTGTAAACGTCAACAAATGATGAAACCTTCCTCGGCAGAGACGCTTCACAAAGGAAGGATGTGGTGGATAATTCTTCTAAGCACAATTGCTCTAGCATGGACTACACCCATTCCCTTGATAGAGGACTCGGAGGAACTGGATGAGCCTTGCTTCGATCCATGCTACTGTGAAGTGAAGGAGAGCCTTTTCCATATACATTGCGACAACAAGGGATTTATAAATATTAGTCAGATAACAGAGTCGTGGTCGAGACCTTTTAAACTTTATCTGCAGAGGAATTCCATGAGGAAATTGTACACCAACAGTTTTCTTCACTTAAACAACGCTGTGTCCATTAACCTTGGGAACAATGCACTGCAGGACATTCAGACGGGGGCTTTTAACGGGCTCCGGGTCCTGAAGAGGTTGTATTTGCACGAGAACAAATTGGACATTTTCAGAAACGACACTTTCCTGGGTTTGGAAAGTCTGGAATATCTGCAGGCAGATTACAATGTCATTAAACGGATTGAAAGCGGGGCGTTTCGAAACCTAAGTAAGTTGAGGGTCCTTATCCTAAATGACAATCTCATCCCCATGCTTCCCACCAACCTATTTAAGTCTGTGTCCTTAACCCACTTGGACTTGCGCGGGAACAGGTTGAAAGTGCTCTCGTACCGCGGGATGTTGGACCACATTGGCAGGAGCCTGATGGAGATTCAGCTGGAGGAGAACCCGTGGAACTGCACGTGTGAGATCGTGCAGCTGAAGAGCTGGCTGGAGCGCATCCCCTACACCGCCTTGGTGGGGGACATCACCTGCGAGACCCCCTTCCACTTCCACGGCAAGGACCTGCGGGAAATCAAGCGGAGCAAGCTGTGCCCCATGCTGTCCGACTCCGAGGTGGAAGCCAGCCTGGGCATTCCCCAGCTGTCCTCCAGCAAGGAGAATGCTTGGCCCACCAAGCCCTCCTCCATGCTGTCCTCCTTCCATTTCACCGCTTCCTCGGTTGAGTACAAAACGTCCAACAAGCAGCCCAAGCCCACCAAGCAGCCCCGGGCGCCCCGGCCTCCCCCGACGCCCCGTGGGCTGTACCCTGGGCCCAACCAGCCGCCTGTGGCCGCCTACCAGACCCGGCCCCCCATCCCCATCATCTGCCCCACGGGCTGCTCCTGCAGCTTGCACATCAACGACCTGGGCCTGACGGTCAACTGCAAGGAGAGAGGCTTCCACAACATCTCTGAGCTCCTGCCCAGGCCCCTGAACGCCAAGAAGCTGTACCTGAGCGGGAATTTGATACAGAAAATCTACCGCTCCGATTTCTGGAATTTTTCCTCTTTGGATCTCTTACACCTGGGGAACAACCGCATTTCCTACGTGCAGGACGGGGCTTTTATCAACCTGCCCAATCTCAAGAGCCTCTACCTGAATGGCAATGACATTGAGCGGCTCACCCCAGGCATGTTCCGGGGCCTGCAGAGCTTGCATTACCTGTACTTCGAGTACAACCTGATCAGGGAAATCCAGCCGGCGGCCTTCAGCCTCATGCCTAACCTGAAGCTGCTCTTCCTCAACGACAACCTGCTGCGCACTCTGCCCACCGACGCCTTCGCCGGCACTTCGCTGGCCCGGCTCAACCTCCGCAACAACCACTTCTTGGCGCTGCCGGTGGCCGGGGTGCTGGAGCACCTGCACGCCATCGTGCAGATCGACCTGAAGCTCAACCCCTGGGACTGCACCTGCGAGCTGGTGCCTCTCAAACAGTGGCTGGAGGCCCTCAGCTCGGTCAGCGTGGTGGGCGAGGTGCTGTGCGCCAGCCCCGAGCGCTTGGCCCGACGCGACCTCCGCGCCCTGGAGCTGGCCGCGCTCTGTCCCGCCGCCCTCCGCCCCGCCGCCGCCGCCGCCGCTTCGCCCCCCGCCGCCGCCGCCCCTCCGCCGCCCGCCGCCACCGGCGCCGCCGCCTACGAGCTGCCCCCGCCCGGCGCCGCCGTGCCGCTCTCCGTCCTCATCCTCAGCCTCCTCGTCCTCTTTTTCTCCGCCGTGCTGGTGGCCGCCGGGCTCTTCGCTTTCGTGCTCCGCCGCCGCCGGCGGAAGCTGCCGTTCCGCGGCCCGCGGGCGGAGGCGGCCGACCTGGGCGGAGTGCCGCTGCGCTGCCCGCGGCTCTGCGAGGAGGGCGGCGGCGGCGGCGGCGGCGGCGGTGGGGGCGGCGGAGGGGAGCGCTCCCCGGAGAAGGCGCCCCCGGCGGGCCACGTCTACGACTACATCCCGCACCCGGTGACCCAGATGTGCAACAACCCCATCTACAAGCCGCGGGAGGAGGAGGAGGAGGCGGCGGGGGGAGGCGGCGGCGGCGGGGAGGCGGCCGAGCTGCTGCGGGGCGGCGGCGAGCGCTTCTCCCACGCTGCCGCCGCCGGAGCCGCGCAGGAACCGGGCACCAACTACCGCACTTTGCTGGAGAAGGAGCAGGAGTGGAGCCTGGCCGTGTCCAGCTCGCAGCTCAACACCATCGTCGCCGTCCATCCCCAGCACCCCGCGGGCGGAGGGCTGGCGGCGGGCCCCGGAGCTCCCGGGGGGGCGGCGGCGGGGGGGTGCGGCGGAGGCGGCGGCGGCGGCGGCGGCGGGGGGGCCCCGCGGGACCGCGAGCGGCCGCCGTGCGCCGTGGGCTTCGTGGACTGCCTGTACGGCACCGTGCCCAAGCTGAAGGAACTGCACGTGCACCCCCCTGGCATGCAATACCCGGACCTGCAGCAAGACGCCAGGCTCAAGGAAACCCTTCTCTTCGCGGCCGGAAAGGGCTTCTCAGACCACCAAACCCCCACAAGCGAATACCTCGAGTTAAGGGCCAAACTCCAAACCAAGCCGGATTACCTCGAAGTCCTGGAGAAGACCACGTACCGGTTCTGAGCCGCCGCCCCGCCGCCCGCCCGGCCCCGCCGCATGCGATCGAGGATCCAGCTGTGCTCCCCCCGCCAGATGTGCAGCGGGGGGGGGCCGTTCTCAGATCATTAATCGACAAAGTGCCTTCGCAGACTTTTGCCAGCAGATGTTAATCAATCATTATTTTTTTATACTGAAACTGAGACTTTGACTGTGCCATGTCTAAGGTATATTATTATTATTATTATCGGGGATCTTTGTACTGATCCTGATTAAGTAAATGCCATGTGTGTCTCTTTTTTTTTTTTTTTTCTTTTTTTTCCCCCTTTTTCTTTTCATTTTTCTTTGCAGTGAACTCCTATATTTTCCCTCGGAGGGGAGGAGGGTGGGGGACGGAGGGAAGATGGCATTTTGTGGCTCGCTTCCTTCTTGCCCATCATGGCACAGATTCTGTACATTTATTTAAGCAAACAAACAAACAAACAAAATTGCAAAGAAGCAAACGAGCGCAGTTTGCTGCATGCCTGGAAACTGCAAGAGGGAAGGGAGGGGAGGGTCTTGCTCGAATGTCTCACTCGTGTCTCTCTCCCTCCCTCGCACACACACACGCACACGCACACGCACACGCACACACACACACACACAACGCAGACACCCGCATCACCACCTCGCCTCCCCCTATGAGGTCCCTCCCCCCTCCCCCCCTAGCGGTGCGGGGCCGCAGCCCCGGGTTGTCCCCACGTGGCCCACCCACCCCTCGGGGATGCGCGGTGACGCTTCGTCGTGACACCATGGTTTGTTGGGGTTTGTTTTTTGGTTTTTTGGGTTTTTTTTTTGTTTGTTTTGTTTTGTTTTGGTTTTTTTTTTGAGGACATCCGCACTTTTCCTACTAAAAGCAACACGCGAATATATTGAAAAGGGAGGAAAAAGAAAAAAAAAAAAAAAAAAAAAAAAAAGCAGCTACTGGGCACCTGTCACTAACAGCTTTGTAGGAAGCACTTTTAATGTTTTTCTCTCATACACACATCCATGCACACGCACACACCGAGGTACAACGATGTGCTTATATTTATTCTGTAATTTCAAGTGAATATAAATTGTAAAGGTAATGTTTAATCATTGTACAGTGATGCGTCTGGTATAGCTTTCCTAATAAAACGTTTTGAAAAAAAAAAAAACATGCACACATATATATATATATATATCTACATATATATATATATATATATATGTATATATAAGACTACAAAGCTTGAACCTTAAACTCCAGCTTCCCCCTATGAGATTTCCTTCTCCCACTTTAACCTCGAGAGCTATTTTATTAATAACGGTTCAGTGCACTGTGATGTTAACAGAGAAAACCCTGTACAGCTTCTCTCGCCAAGATACCACCCGAGACTTCTTAAAACCCGATTTACAATCTGTATTCCCACGATGCGCCGCGCTGATGGCACTTTCCGTGTATTTAAAAATAGGCAGTGAATTTAAGCCCTCGTTCTCGAGAAGAGCTGCCTCTGCCTGCTGCTAGGCCGGAGGGTGGGGGGGGAGGGGGGGGGCATCGCTGGTGGTGCTCCTGCCGTTCGCATCGCAGTCGATGAAGGGGGATGGGAAGGGGCACCGTAACGCATTTCAATTTTGGAAAACAAAACAAAACAAAACAAAAACAAAACAAACTCGGAACGAGCTGGAAAAGGATGCCTAAAGCATCAGCCGCTCAAAGCGGAGCCAAACCAAAGACGATGTGGGGTTGCCCCTGCTGGGGGAAGTCCCGGTCGGTATCTTGGCCCCGGCGGATCCGAGCCGGGCGGTGGCGGCGACTCCGCGCGGCCGCAAGGTGGCGCTATAATACCGGCACTGGCTTCCGCTGAGCCGCTGCCCGTCCGGCCCCGGTCCGATAGCGGCCCCGCAGCTCTGGGTGCCTCTGAGCGGGGTGGTTGGGAGGGCACGGAGGGGAGAGCTCGGAGCGAGGTGACTTGCAGCCCTAAAGCTTGAATTCTGTAGAGAGCGATCGAATTTTAACTCTAAATCTCTTTTGTCTTCACGGGGTAACGGTAATTTATCCAGGTGAATTGTGATGACTTTCCTCGCCCTGCGTTAAAATTGTATCTCCCCGAGGGCATTTCATCTGGTTGGTGTTGGGGGTGGTTGAGGATTTCTGCCCTTTGGGGTTTCCAGCACTGCCTGGTGTCACCTCAGACCCAGCTGTCTCTCCTTTCTGTTGGGAGCAACTCTCTTCCACCCAGCACAATGCATTTAATGGAAGCAAAACTGTGAGTGCTTGTTTCCACCCTGAGCGCCCCTATTTATGGCATCAGTGAGTTTGCTTATGGCAGGCTTTTTGTCAGTCTGTCTTGGAGAAGCATCTGGGTGCGACAGAAGTAGTTTCCTGAGCCTTGGCAGTAGCTGTGTGTGCTTTGAAATGAAGGGACAGCTCCAAATGTCTGCAATTCAGCATTGGCTTTGTGTCCTTGGTAAATAGTAATAATAATAATAATAATTGCTATACATTCAAAGATCCCAGGTCCCTCCATTGAGCTGAATGCGTTTTCTAACTGCTGCGTTCAGTTCTAATGTGCTGGGGGGGGTTTTATGGGTTCTGTTGGTTGCTTTTTTTTTTTTTTTTTCTTCTGTGTGGTTGTTGGGTTGATCCTTTTTGTTTCTTTGTTTCTGTTGCACAGTAGAAGAGCATGGACATGTTAAAAATAATAAACATCCGAGTGCAAAGGCCAGATCCTTCTTATGATAATCATTGTGGTATGATAATCAGAACCGCATTGATAAGGCGACATGCAAGGAGCACGTGGAGCTGTACAAATCAGGTTAAAGTACAACCCCTAGTGAGAGCGGTGCTGTATACATTTGGCAATGCCATCAGACCCCGAGTGTTCATACTTGTATCCAAATATAGCAAAGCCAGTTGCAAATAGTGTTTATATTTTAATTACAATGCAGAAAGGCAAGAGAATTTCAGCGTAACTATAGGTAGCAATCTCACCCGTGGCTGGTGAGGAAATCTATTTATTCAGTGGAAATAAATTTGTTCTATGATGATGGAATTTTGTATTAAAAGAGATAATTTTTGGCTTACATCGAGTTATTTTTCTTTCCTCGTGTAGGAAGCTTCCTTTTCCTTGTGTGCTGGGGACTCACTGGAACCATTTGGGGATGGTTCCCTCTGGAAATGTCGCTAATATATAACTGTGATATCTGATGTATATTACAATGACTTCTATTTTGTTATTTCATTGTGTCGAGCTGAAGTTGAGTGGGTAGCAGCATTGCTTCCCACTGCAGGAAACGAAAGTGGATCCATCATCTCTGATGTGTGACGGGTGAATATTTACATGCTTTGATTGGGTTGCTCCTAATTCACAGGGATTATCATCATTATCAGCGGTATTATTGGTAGCATTAATAATATTGGGAAGGAACCAAATAAAGTCAAATGATCCACCTTCACGTTGGAGCTGTTTGATGGGATAGTGCTTGAAATAAATCTCTCTGTATTTTAGCATGGTGTACGACAAGCAGGTGGTATCAGCTTTAGCAGGTCAGCGTGTGGTGGTGCTCAGAGTCGTGCTGTAAATCTGTTGCTGTGTGTTTGCTTTACTCACTCTTTGAAGTTCTTCCTACAGGTGGAGAGGACAGGAACCACCAGGTAAGTCCTAGTCCCAGCCAGTAACAGCTGCATGCAGGGAAATAGAGATGATAATGACAGTGCTCAGTGCTCTTTTGTATTTCTTTGGTATTGGCATTGATGTAAGATGATATGTTAGATGGGTCAGAAGATCTCTTTGCAACTTGAACTTTTGCTGAACTGGCTGTACCAGTAGTGGTGTTAGTTGTTGAGGTACGAATAGTCTGACCCCCACAGTGCACAGTGCCTCTCGGAGTCTTGTGGGATGCTAGGAAGCATACTGCCCTGGTCAGGTGAATATTGCAACTCTAAGGATTCTGTGTCTGGAGACATTGTTTGCTCTGAGAGTCAGTGGGTTTGAGTGAAGCTGTGGTAACTCAGCATGTTGTCAGGGACCTTTCCAGAAAAAAAGAAAAAAAAAAAAACACTTCATAGAATCATAGAATGGCCTGAGTTGAAAAGGACCACAATGATTGTCAAGTTTCAAACCCCCTGCTATGTGCAGGGCTGCCAACTACCAGACCAGGCTGCGAATCATATTTGTAGATGTGGTTTTAAGCAGTTATAACTGACTTCTGTTCTCTGGTGTAAACACAGCAACATGACAGAAAGGTCTCTACAGATTGTCAATATGCAATGGTCTCTGTTTCTGGAAGGCTGATGTGTGCTAGCAGCAGCTCTTGAGTGCTGTGCTCCTTCTTTACTCAAGTACGTACTTCAGATGGAGTTGAAGGGTTCACATGAACAGCGTGTGATAAATTGGCTCTGTCTACAGCAGAAGTGTTCACGTGAAGGGAGTGTGCAGAATCTGGCTGTAAGTTTGGAAGTTCACTGGTTATCTGCATTACTCAGCCTGAGAATATGGCTTTTGGCAGTCACACCAGCCATTTCGGTGTGAACTCGTTCCAGAATTGCACTTCTTCCAATGGCATTTGCCTTTACAACATGGATACACTCTGCTGCACATTGCATATTCCTCCTTGCTGAACCAAGATTTGGTTCGAAATCTGACTTCCTCATATCTGACTTTCACAATAAGCTCATGCATGGGTTGGATAGTTCAACACAGTTGTTTCCATGTGAGAAATGCAGTAGAATTTCACTCCATATGTAGTTTCATAACTTATTCACACTAAAACCTATCTCTTTGTACAAGTAATAATAATAATAATAATAATAATAATAATTAATAATCTGTGATGGAAATACACTTTTTCCCCCTCTTCTTGAAAACAAAAACTGATTTATTCTGGAAAATATATCTAAGTCCCAATTTGATGCATGATTGTGCTTGTGGAAGAAGTGGAATATGCCTGGAGCAAAGCTTTGTGTGGGCATGGAGCTGAGGTCTGATCCCATTCCTGATGAAAACAGTGGTGGAATACATTGCAGCTCAGTTTTGATCAACAGACCCAAAGGCGGAGCGAAGTCTAATCTCAGAAAATTGCAACCTATGTTCAGTGGTTACAGGTATCTTAAATGTTTCTGAGTAACATGGAAAAAAGCATAGGGAAAACTGATTTAGTAACTGTGATACTGATTTAGTAACTGTCTCGATTGACCTCATTCATGAATTAACCAATTTTTAGCATGTTTTAGTATGAAGGAAAAGAACTTGCATGAAGGCAAATATCACAGTAGTGTTATAGTAGGTTCACAAAGCATGGAAAGTGGTAGAGGAGTTTAGATCTAATGTAGAGCTGATCTCTAGGTCGCTATAGCCAACCAGATTGTTCATGTAACAGTTGCAAATACCTTATTGGTTTTGCCTTTTTCTTTGAAAGCAAGCTTACAAGTACCGAGAATTGGGTTTATATATATATATGACTTTTAAGTATATATATATATATATATATATATATATGACTTTTGCTTAATTCTTAGAGCTTCCCAGTTCTTTTAAAGTTGTGTATTTGTATTTTTGTTTATGTCATTGGGGGAGATAGGGATGACTGCTGAAGCCATCAGTTTTGCTGTAGATGGTGATCACCAGAAGGTTACAGGTGTGACGTGATGCAGGTTATCTATATTATTATGAAAGTCTTTGGAAACATTCCCCTGTGGTGGGATTTTCTCTTTTAAATCTGCTGATATTGTGGTGGTTTTCAGTAGAGTGTCAGATTGTTCACTTTTTTTTGTGGGAAAACAGTGGGGGAAGTTCAAAGGAACGGAGCTACTGGCTTTGCTATAGGAATTCCCTGTCTAAAGGTTGTACTGAGTAATGTCCGCAGAGTGGATGCTGCATCAGTCTTTACATTTTGAATGTGAAGGATTTAAATTCTAAGTGAAGGATTATTTTTTTGACACTAGGAAGACATATATATATATATATGCAATACTAAGAAGTTGTGTGCCTTAAAAAGAATAGATAATTATAGAGGGTATAGCACAATATAACATATTAAAAGCTCAGTCGTTGTGTCATGTACTGAGCATGTGATGTACTGAATGTCCATTTACCTTTTCTAACATCTTTATTTTTCTACTGGAATTGTCTGTATCTCTCAAGAGTATCCTATATATTCTATGAATTCAGAAGAAAAGTTTTAGGTTAGTGAAGGGTCAAATCTCTCTGAGTCAGGGACTACAAATAGATACGACAAACGGGAGCAAAGTTCCTTTGCATGGCACGTGTTGTGGAAGCTGGGCATGTTGTGTAGCACTGTACCAGGAAGGGAGGTTCTCTGTAGGGATGCAGGTGGTGGTTTCAAACACGTGTTCCCAAACTGGGGAGAGTCACTTTTGGACCTGAGACATGGTGTGTGTGATGGCACTGCCATCCATTCTGCTGCTGGTGACACCTGGCGCCACTGCTGGTGGAGAGTCCTGAAACAGCAACCCTAAAAAAAATGAAATGGCTCGTGGTTTTCATGACAGTTATCTGAGTAATCCTTGAACAGAGGTCTGTTACTGAACTTTGGATGCTTTTGCTTTGGAAATCAAGGCTAATTAGAGTTTTGTTGCTATCATTTTGTGATTGTTTGGTTTTAATGAGGGGTATCACTGGAGAAATGAAAACGTTGCAATGTGAAAGTTCTCACCAAAGAATACTTTCTAGTAGGACTTTCAAATCTCCCTTTTCTTCTCTCTGCTTTGGAGAATGAAGGAGCCATGCTCAAAAGAGCACGGGAGCTGCCACTTGAGCTCAGAATTGCAATGTGTTTGTGCTTCTGTGTCCTCTCATTCCCAAGAGCACCCATTACGTTAGGCTCAAAGGAAGATGTAAGGAGCTCCAGTTAGTGGGATTACAGGGCTGGGTATGGCCAGCTAACCTGCTGCACCATTAGCACTCACCCCAAGCAATCAGAGACCCAAGGTCCCTCACAGCTGCATGGCACTGGGGTTAGAACAGTGACGAGCACTTAGAAAAACCAAGCTGTAGCATTTCTGTGCAAAATGAACATTCTAAAAGCTGGCCTCTGGTAACGAATATTGGCTGTTGGCCTCTGGGTTCTTTAGAAAACTCATCCAGGGCTTCAGTGATGCAGTTAAACTGCCATGTAAGGGCACACTGGTCGGTCCTCATGAAAGCACTGCTGGAAAAGATGTGTAATTAATGCATTCTTCTTCGTCAGAGAGTGTTGTTTCTTGTGGCATCACTTCTGTTGTGTTTTCTTGCAGTGACCCAAAAACCTGGCTGCTTTGGAAAGTGGATAGTATTGGCAATCAAAGAAATATGGCAAGTAAAGATATTTTTCAGATCCAGTTTATATTAGTGTTTTATGCCAAGAAAGGGCAAATCATTGCTATCAGGTCTTTGTTCTGCTGCCTTCACTGATTAAGGCAAAGAGTGATGGTTCAGTGTCTTCATTTATCCCCTTTAATTTTAAGCCAACAAAGCAGGGAAGGTGGATGTATGCAATTTATATGTGTATTTATGTCTTCCTCCTGTGGGCAATGTGGGGCCATGGCACTGCAGCTGGTGGTGCTGATGGGAGGAATGGCATTGGGACTGCTGGGTTAAGCTGTCACAAGTAGGAACTGTGCCAAGGCTAGCAATGCAAACAGCACCACAAAGTCAATCACCTCGCTGCGTAAGGGACAGTCAGTGGCAGCACACCATTCCTGTAGAGACGTCTCCTTTAGAGCAGGGGAACAAATGTCTCACAGAACCCCTTTTCCCCCACATTGAGCCTGACTTCTCAGGCAGCCTTCAGATTTGTTGGCATTCTCCACATTGCTTTTACCTGCCTGCATGCAGAGGTAGATAATTATTTGGCTGACAATGAGTTGTGACGCCTCGGTTTGCACGTCAGCCGTGCGAGAGAAACGGAGACCAACTGAAAATATGGTTATCTTTGTTGGGTTTTTCTGTAGAGTGATGTTTTGCACCTCAAGACTTCATTCTGTAAGATGTATCGACGGGATTGCCTACCTGTAACTCAGCTTTGTAAGCAACCTCCTGAGGTTAGCCACGGTGGTATTACTTCCTTGTGCTTTGCCAGCCCTGCAAGCCAGCCAAGTCTGTTAAAGCCTTCAGAGCACAAAGCACTGATAAGATGGATCCCTAACAGGTATGCATCAGGGATAATGCAAAGATGTTCCGTGTACAACCACCTGAAATTAGTTTCTGCTAGCTCAAAGCAGAAGTAACCGCCTCCTGTGTTGTTACTTCTGCTGAAATGGAGGGGCTGATGTATGTAGGGAAGTGATGATGCTGAGTGTGTGCATTATATACGTGTATACAGTCTCTAAATGTGTATGTATATGTGTATATGCTAGCATGTTCAAGTGTAAAAGTCATTCTTTTTGTAAGTTCCACGAGATTCAGGCATATGGCTTGCTTTGAACTGTTATTAAAATATGGGCATTTTGGTGATAAAGCTAAAAATGTATACCTTAAGACCTACATTCTTAATGTAGGTCAGTGGAGGCACTTCTCAGACGTATTAGCATTTTGGACACTTTGTCTTATCAGCATATTGCATCTCCTGGAATAGGTTAGCAGAGGCAATGCGGGAGAAATTGCTGCATCTGAAGTCATTCAGTGATGTTGCCAAGTTTCTCAGGAACCAGAATTGCAGGATAATGAGTATTATATTTAATTCGTGATGGAAAGGCAACCGTGGGGAGTTCAGCAGAGGCGATGCAGATCATCTTGGCTCTGTGGGGGAGGGAGAATTTATAACTGTAGCTAGCTAAAAAGAGGAAAGCTGTCTGTATATTTGTGGGTATATATATTTATATATATGTATATACAAATCTGTGTATGTGTAGATAACACCGTGTGTATATATGTACGTATGTATATGCCCATAATGTATATGTGTATCTATATATGTGTATACATTTATATAAATTTCTATTTCTCTATATGAATAGTCATGCAACTGTGGAAAATAGCATTATCACCAGTGTGTCCTTTGCTTTAAAACCCAACGAGAAGCTACTTCCATTAATCCTATGTTGGCACAGAGCTCTGTGGTTATCATTTACATGTAGAGAGGAGCACAGCTCTGTAGCTGAGCACCAGCCTGGAAGGCTTTCCCTCCTCCAGAGGACTCCAAGCAAGTCATTAGCTTCTCCACAGCTGTTCCACATATGTGAAATAAAGCCAAGGTGAATCAGGGGCTGGGCTTAAAGGCAAAGGCAGAAGGAGCAGTGGGCTGTTTGTGCTTGGAAGTCTCTGTGATGCTGGCGGAGGTCTGATGGTGGAGCATCCTCAGCTGTGGTTACTCTGGTTGCTGTTGGTGGTCTCAGCTAACGGCAGCAGTTTCTGCATGGGGCAGGAAAGGAGGAAATTCTTCTTTTTTTCTTTCAAGTAAGTGTTCTGGAGTCTGATTGCTTTGGTTCAGTGATGCATGGATTTCCATTTGGGGCTGGGATGTTAAGTTGTAAGCTCAGTGAGCTTCTAATTTGGGATGCCTTTTATGTGATAATTGATTTTGAATAATTTCACTTCATTGTTAGAACAAGCTATACCTTAATTTACTCTATGTTTGAAGAACTCAGCTGGAAAACTATTTATATCAGGATGGATTTTGCACTTGGCTTCAGTGGGGTTGAACGAGATCAGAGTGTTTCACGAAGCACTGACATCAAAACAATCTGGTGGTTGTGCAACTATTAAATGAAAGTGTAATTTTGTAATAAAAGTGTGAACAACAACAAAAAAAAATTGGTTTGCTAGTTATATATTCTGTGACAATAGCATATTTCTATCACTGAGACCTTTGGTCAGCTGCTGGGTTTTGGCAAGGGTTTTGGTTCTGTGCTGCTGATGGTTGTTGTGAGATCTTCCCCTTCCTTCCTCCTGCACTGAGTTCCCTCCTGGCTGTCCTGCTCCCAATCTGCTGTCATGTGCAAGCTGCAACGTGACCAGAAAGGGGAGAAGGGATTATTTCTTCTTAAGCTCTTTGCTTCCTTTGAGGCAGAAGACAAACAAACAAACAAGAAATAATCACAGGAATGAAAATGGATACTTTGTGGTTTTAAATATATGGCATGGAGTGAAGCGTTTCTCTTAAGGATCCTGGTTGTGCTGGGCCTTATTATTTTATCTGGAGGAAGTAATCACCTTATGGGAAAGTGCTTCCTATCTTTTTTGCCTAAACGTTGCAGTGAAGCCTAACGTGATGTATAGCTGCCTCTTAAAAAAAAATAAAATAAAATAAATAGGTCATTTCCTTACGAATGTTATATTTCTATGTAGAAAACATGCTGAATTCTTATGCTACCTGCTGGTTAAAGCAAGCCCTTTGCTGTTTTTTATGATTTCAGCATACTGGAATGCTGAATGGAAACAAGTAGAAGGGGAACAGAAAAGTTAATCACTTTTTAATTAACTCATGCAGTCCTGATGTCAAGCCAACCATTTGAATAAGATGTTTCTGGGATGCCCATGGGCATGTAGTCTACAAATGGCTGATTTTTCTGAGCAGGGAGCATCAGAAAGTTCAGAGAGCTGCTGCTGCTTTGCTGAACATCTGGAGACCTGGGAGAGCTTGGGAAATGAGGATTTCTGGTGTCTCTACTTAAAGAAGACACCTGAAGGTCTGCATCCTCAGGAAGGCAGTCATTCACTTAAAAAGCTCAGAATTTGAACCCAGAAAGGGAATAATAATGTACACAAATCTCTTCGTTCTCAGTAGTAATCTCTTCTTTGTGGGATAAATTCAATCTATAATGAGACTTGGCTACTTGCTATCTTGCTATAAAGAAACAACTCACCCTGCCACTTGTGTGGTTTAGGTTTGCTGTTTTTCATGTTGAAAAGGAGAGGTGTAGTTGGAAGATCAGGCACACAAAGTCACGTTGTTACAGACAAACATCCAAATAAGTTTCAGGACCTAAAGAACAGAGGTGCTTAAGGCTCTGCTGGCGTAGATCGCAGCAGATCCATCGCTCTCAGCACAGCACTGCTGGTACCCCAGAGCTGGGGAGATGACTCAGATGTTTGCTACCCTCTGGCAGCCATGTCTCTATGGGTTGGCTTGTGAATGGATGTCAACCCATAAAGACAAGAGCACCCCAGACTGCTGTGTGACTTTGTACCCACCTGAAACCCATTCCTGTCTTTGTGTGTAAAAAGAAAACATCAGGCAAACACAAATTTCCTGATATTTTCCTTTGGCAAATCCTGTTTAAACCTCCCCTCCCCCCCCAAAAAATAAGTAACTGTGAAGTCACAGGAACTCTGCCAGAATACACTGTGAATTTACAGGGATCAGGCTCTTCCAAGTAATATTTTCTCCATTGAAAAGTATCTAATTCTAATTGAGAGGGGGAAAAAAATCATATTGATTTCTATAATCATGTGATAAATGGAAGGGGGGGGGGGGGAATTACTTGAGTATTGCTTTGAACTAAAATCCTTTATACACTGTCTTTGCCTTAAGAAAAGATACAAGCTTTCTTATAACCAAATTGGAAAAAAATGTCATAGTATTAAAAGAAATAGAACTAGGGTTAGAGCTAAGAGTATTTTTCCTCTCTTCTCACTAAAAATACCAACTTATTTGTGCTTTGACTCGCATAAATTTTGTTTATAGGGAAGGAATAGTGTCTTGCTGGTATTATGGAAGAAAAATGGCTTTCAGGCACATCAAGATATTCTATGCTAAAAATCTGCATCTCTAGCTACTTTTCTAGTAAAATATATTATGCATTCTATGTTTAATACTTTAAGGAAAAAATAAAGTCTGGATGGTAAGTAGAGGAATGAATAACTGAAGGAAAGAATATCAGAAGTAGAATCACTGAACTGAGCTTCCATTTCCAACAAATGTGAGTGTAATTGGCGGGAGCTTATGAATGCATAATTTTGAGTGAATATCAGACAGTTAACTGACTTCTCATCACCTAATTGCCCATGTAAACTGTAACTCAGTTCTTAATCTTTACTGTCCATCTTGCCATTCCTAAACGTATCAGTAATACTCTATTGGGAATTGTTGCACTGAGTGACTGAGGAGGATTGCTGCCGATAAAGTATAGTTCTTCTTGTTTAGTCCTGTCTGAATGCCTTGACCTTGTTCATTTGAGCAATATCTCAAAGCTCCTGGGCCTGTAACTGCTTGGGGTGATGGAGTTGGATTTAAGTGCTCACTGATCACTGTGGAATATAACGTATGTGAGAGGCACAAAGCCTCTGATTGTCATGAATCTGCAAGCTGTTTCTAGAAAGTGGAAGTCGCATCAGATAAGAAAAATGAATACTTGCAGCTCTGTAAGCTGACAAGCGATGAAGCAACTGGAAACTTTCCCACCAACTCAGAGTTCAGAAGACCAGGAACACATTATGTCATCCACAATATTAATTTAGAAGTGCATGTCTTTGTAGTCACAATTTCTGACAATGTGAACCTCACCAAAAAAATTAAAATCCTTAGATCTGTTGAGAAAGTGCCAGAAGGATGAACCAATAGAAAGGTCTGACACTGGAAACATGGAGCTGCACATGGGATGGCAATTGCTGACTAAGCCAAATGTTGCAGGTCTGGAGGTATGGGCATGAGATAAGTAGTGAAGACACAGATGTCTGGTTGAGATCTGAAAGAGGGAATTGTTGGAGAAATAACTGCAGACAGCTGGGGCGGGTCTGGAGAATAAAAGTGCTCTCTGGGTTGGATGAATGAGCACAGTGATGTCATTGTGAAAAACTGAAACACAGTGATTGTGAATTTGAAGGTAGAGATGTAGGTTTTGTATTTGTCAGGAGACAGCTTATTCAAGGAGAAGTTGGTAATGTTTTAAGCCTTTTAGCTTCTCTTCTGGGGAAGGGACTGGGGAATAACTGAGAGCTGGAAGGCAGTTTGGTGGCCCATACCATACTGGGGGCAACTTCATCCAACCCCCAGTTCATTTAAAATCTTGTGCAAGAAGTCTTCATCACTTCTTAAGCTCAGATATCTGTGAAAAGTATGAGCTGAAATTTCTATTCCTTTCTTGAGTAAACACCTAAGAACACTATTTTTTTTTTAAAAAAAAGAACTTATTCTTTTCAATTCTACAGCACTCAGTGCTCAACACTCTTGAGTTGATGCTCAATGTATGCTCTGCAGGACTATTTTCTCTTGTAATTAAAAGGGGGAAAGAATGACAATGCTTGCTGTCTGCTCCAGAATCTTCTCTGCCTAGACATGCACGTAGAAGAGCAAAAATCCACTATAAATGTGGCTTATAGTGTTTGGAAAGGCTGCATGTCCAAAATCCTCAAGCAAGTTTTTCAGAGGAGGCTATAAATTACTTTTCTGAGCCTGCATCAGTAACAAGTTGTTTCTTGAAGAAAAAGATTAATTTGAGGAAAGTGCCAAAGTGGATTAAATGCAAGCTCAAGAAGGTCAGGAAAAGGGGAACTACTTCTAGACAGAGGTGTTTGGAAAAAATGCACTAATCCACTTCTATTAATCTTGTGAGTTTTGTAAACTGCAATGAGTTGTATTATATCTCCAGTAACAAACTTGGCTGATAGTCTCATTTTGGAGGATGACGAGGAATAGAAGAAAACATTACCAAAGTAATATGCATCAGTGGGATTTGATACCTGTAGTGGTTCCTACGTATGTTGCAAAGGAGGCAAATATAACAGGCTGACAGCATAAAAACTAACATCAGAAGCTGAGATTTTTAAATACTTAATGGGAAGAAAAATATTAGGGTGTGGTTGGTGTTTTTAATGGCCAACTTGGTAGAAATTTCTGATTACCGATCATCTGAAGGTCTTGTGAAATGTGACCCATCACCACAAGTCATGATGGTCCAAATGATCACTATGGTTCTTTTCAACCCAGGCCATTCTATGATTCTGTGATCCTATGATTAAGTCACTAAAGTCAGTTTCTAAAACCATGGTCAAAAGTTATGTAATGTAGCTCAGTAATGAAGCTGAGCATGTATTACAGCTGAAATAGAGATGGTTGGGGTGGGGGGCATTAAGGAGGGATGTTACTTGTGGAAGTGATTATCCTTTCCCAGTGAATAGCGTGACTGGAATAGCAAGAGCTAGTAATGTCAAAAATCACTGAAATGCTTTTTCTGTGATGATGTCCAGAAGGGTAGATGAGTGCTTGCTATGGAGCTGGTGTAAGTGAGGAGCTGGCAGCTGGGTTCTCCTGCCTTCTAAGCAGCCCTGGATGCTGATTTCCTCTGTGGATTTAGATAAATCCTTTAATATTGCTTTTGTAGTTTACCTCTCTGTAGAACGCTTATCTCTGTACTGTGGAGGCATAGTGGGAATATACAGAGCAGCTGTCTGTGTTGAGAACTATTTATAATATATTATCGACTGAACTAAATGTTTGCAATGAAATCCCGAAATACACAAACCCCAGACTTTGTGCATTTGCCTAAAGGGTGACACCAGGGAGGATTGTGGGCAATACCTTCATCAAGTACTGGTGGGTATAGTAAGGACAGCTGGTGAAGTAACAACCTTCTTAGCTCTCAGCTCACCTTTTAAACATGGCTCATGTGGCATGGAAAACAAATATCTCTGTCTATAAAGAGAAGATTGTCAGTGGACCTCAGGAAATCCCATAAAATCCAGGATCTACCGCAGCAGATTTTATCAGCAGTGGGTTTATTTCTTCAGAAATTAAAAAGTACATTTTTTTTAGTTCTACTTTAAGATGAGAATTGATTCCTGTGGTTCCTACAGTGCAGATGCCCTGTGAGACTCCTGGCTGTGTCAGGTGCCATATGGAAAGATGGTGTTCCATCCTTGGTGGTTGATATCCTATGCACCTCAGTACAGGAGTGCTCCCAAAAAGGAAAGAACTGCGCACTTGCTCCTGCTTGGGTTGGAAAAGGCAGTTAAAGGGAATGCTGAGACTGCCATCAGACTTATCTTTTTTTGTTGTGCCAACTTCTGAATCTGGTTTAAAATCTGCCCTAGGGTGGAGCTGCATTTATATCATAGAATGGCCTGGGTTGAAAACTCAAAGATCATCTAGTTTTAACCCATGCTATGTGCAGGCTCGCCACCCACCAGACCAGGCTGCCCAGAGCCACATCCAGCCTGGCCTTGAATGCCTTCAAGGATGGAGCATCCGCAATACATCCACCCCTGCACATCATTACCCATGTTTGCCACGGCTTAATTGGATTAAATTGCCTGATGCTTCTTCTGAATAGTTTTAATGAAGACCAGAAGTTCTTTTATCTAGACTGAGCTCTTATAATTTATCCTAAGAGGTACCAAAGCGATTTATTGTAATGTTTTACCTTGAGTGTTTCTTCATAGCAGTAGCAAGAAGCTGTGTGTCTGAAGAACCTTTGGAGCCCTCTTCTCCTGCTCCTGCTGTACTTCTGTATTTCAATGCCTCACTGCCCCTCATCTCAGCATCCTCTGCACAAGTAACCTTGTCGTGATTCAGGCACTACATATTTCACATTAAACATTATCTACTGTAACTCTGCACATTAAAAAAACAAACAAACAAACAAAAAAATAGCAACATTCTTTGGAGCTGTCCTTTGCATGCCTTACATCACATACAGATGCAGGTTGCGTTTGCAACTCAAAATGCATGCAACGTACATTCATAAAATTTATAAGAAACAACACAAAGTAATGAGAAGTGTGTCATCTTTAGTTTCTCACTTGAGAGGCAGCAGAGGGACAGCACCAGGGATTTATTTGCAATCCCAGCCACTGGCTTTTGTGTAGGCAACAATGCATCACTTTGTTTTAGCCTGCCCATAGGAATAAAGATATTTTGCAGAAGTGAAAATGGTCAGATAGCAGTCCACCGGTGAAGACAGCAAGGAAGGAGATGTGGGTTTCTATTCCAAGTGTGCTGCGAGCCAGAGTGAGGAGAAATATAAGAAGGGAAGAACTGTTGTTTGAATCTGACTAACCGCTCAGCCTGTCTTTAGGGGTTTGAAATAATGTCTGCATCGTGTTCGAGTGCAATAGTCAAAGATGAAAAATCCCTGTTCCGCAGCCTGAAATTAAATTACTGTGGAGATGATTCCCTCCCACCTTGAGTGAAACTCATATTGGGGCTGATGTTTCAGCGTTAATTTTACCATCCTGTGGGATATGTCTTTGAGTGGAAGGGATGCTCTTGTGATGTTCAAGAGCAGAGCTGGCAGGGGCACCTGCAGTGCCAAGGGATGGGGAGAATGGCTGGCAGGAGCAGCACTGCACAGACCTGTACTGCAGCCTGGAGGGGCTGCCATAGATCATCTTTGTTCCAGTATCATAGAAACTCTGTGTGCATCTTAGCAAAAATGAACAGATTATAGCCCTCTAAATCAAGGCAAATGCATGCTGTCAGTGAATACTGACAGAACTGTATGTAATGTGTGTTGGGAGGCTGAATTCAATCTTCAGTTAACATGGGTGTCAGCAGCACCAAGGGTGCACACACCAAGTGAAGTCAGGCTGGAAGCTATTACAGATAGTCATATTAAGTATCTTGTACAAACAAATTTGAATGGAAAACTGCAAAGCAGTTCTCCAAACAAGGTGCAGTGTGTTGTCTGGTGATGAGATTTTGTGCTTTCTAGAGACACAACAGCCACTTAATGGTAGAGTTACAGCAAAAAGATGTGATTCAGGTTATTGCTTTTCCAGAGCAATGTTCCCTGCGTGGTTTTGTGTGGGCCCATCTCTCTGGATGCAGAGCCCCAGCAAAGCAGGCAATGCCTCCTGCGTAGCAATTCATAGAAACGGGAGGCAGTAAGCATCCTCTCAATAAAATGAGATCATCTACAGCAAGGAAAGTGTTGTGTTTCATTCAGAAATTTGCTGAAATTATTTTCTGCTGGACTCACTGTTTTTTATTGTGTAGTGCCAGGTCTTGCATCTTACTGATGGGAACAGTAAATATTCACAGAGGACGTGTAGGCAAAGAACACTCAAAGTTGCTGGCTGTGTTTTAAAAGCTTGCGATCCTGAAGGTCAGGGCTCTGTCATTTGTTTATTGATTTGCCTTTTGTAATAGTACCCCATATTTTTCAATAGGATCACCCACCTGCAGGGTTAGGAAACATCAGCAGATGATGTGGATTTGTTGTGATCAGAATTCCCAATGAAGGTAACTATGCAATCAGAATATTGAAATGACCGATGCTCTGTTGCTCAGGAAGGTTCTATTTTGGCAACCAGATGCAAAGTAGGTGCTCAGCAAAGAGCAATGCTAGAAGTGTACAAAAGGGAGATGAAAAAAATTATACCCTTTGGTTACTTTCTATGAGTTCATAATCATAATTTAAGAGAACTCGACTGACTAAAAATCAAGAATATTAAAGCTTAAAGTGAATATTATTTTTGAAATGGAGTACTCTCGGAGCATTTAGATGCTTTAAATAACTGTGTATGTGTCGGATGTCACCATTTCTTGTATTATTAATAAAAGTAGCAGCTTTGCATCTTCCGATTCTAATTATTTCTCTAAATATCTCCAGGAAATAGAAGCACAAAATAGCGAGCGTTGAATAATACTGTGTAAGCATCTTCTGGAGAACATGCCTGTGAGATGAGTCATGCTCACGTTTACAGCTGGAGATGGATTTACAAATCATAAAATAAATACGAGATTACAGAATTGCTAACTGTCTAGTTACCATGAGATCAAGATGTGAGTCAGTACCGTCTTGCTATATGAGCGTCTCCACTCATCTCCTTACACACTTCTCTATGTTGGATCATGCTCCTTACTTTATAATCATAATATGATTGATAGAAACCAAAATCAGTTATTCAGTTGTATTTTAGAGGTGTGGCAGACTGCCTTGGTGGAAACGCTGCAGTAATGAGACAAATTGTTTTGGTGTTATTTCTCAGAAGATGGAAGTGATGCAAAGCACTGAGTTGTCAGGAGAAACCAAAATACAGCCTCTGAGGAGGAGCATTTGTCACATGCAACGCTTGCTATGTTTATACCCATGTATTGTTGTTTAGCATTTCTCTTTAGAAATTAAAACCTTTTCAACTGTACTGAGGTATGAGACAGAAGGAAATGGAAACCTTCACTTGCTAATCATATTGAGGAAACTGTATGATTAACTTTGTGGAAGAAAGAAGATAGTGCTGGTACACAGCAAAGCACTGGTAGAACTAACTGGATCTTGGGTTTTCGATGGAAGTCACCCTTCTTGACTCTTGATTTATTTTCTTATCTTTTATAATATTTTCTTCTCATGGAAATGTCAGATGTTTTCCAGAGTCTGGGATATAGAGGCTTGATTTATTAGAAAAGGTCAAGAATGTGAAATTTTCCAACTAGATTTTTCCCAGTGGACATGAATGAATGGATCACTGTAGCTAGTGAATTGAAAGAGCACAGTTGTACATGTAGTTGCAGTATCAGAGGCCCTTTTTCTTCAGCCTTCAGAAAGAAATTATTTGGGTGTTATTTATGCTCAAAAGACTCTGCTCGGCCCCCAAAGCTCTTTCCAGTCTGTAGCTGAAAGCTATGAAAATCTCCACTTTTCATGTAAGAGAAGAATAGAGTCATAGAATCACAGAATGGCTTTGGTTGAAAAGGACAACAATGATCATCCAGTTCCAACCCCTTGTTATGTGCAGGGTCACCAGTCACCAGACCAGGCTGCCCAGAGCCACGTCCAGCCTGGCCTGGAATGCCTCCAGGGATGGGGCATCCACAGCCTTCTTGGGCAACCTGTTCCAGTGTGTAGGTTAGGGAAGAGCTCATCCAAAATAATAATAATAATAATAAATTTGAGGTTTTGACACAAACCTGAGATGTGATAGTGATCTAGCCTTGAGTTTGGACGCAGGGATGTTGATGCACTTATAATTAAAACCAGATTTCCAAACAAGTGTTTTTTTTAAAAAAAAAAAAAAAAAAGAAAAAAGCCCTAACAACTCAGAGTGTTTAAGAAAAGATTTGTAAAGAAATCTGTTTTTAGGTACAGGTAATCATTTTCTTAAGGATCGTTTTGTATCAATTAGTTTATTCATTCTGTCAGGGGCAAATGTTCTTAATAGATATTGAATAGTTACGGTCATTAACAAAACAGATCTCTGCCAATGTTGTTAACAATGCTACGTGTGCTGTTCTGACTGGTGAAGGCATACCTGCAGGATGGAACCAGCAGGATGGAACAGCTATAGCACTAGCTGACCAGGCAGCATCTTATTAAATCAACAGAAATGACTCGAAAACCTTAAGCAACAGAGCGTGTTTACACTCAGTGCCCACACTGTCAGCATCATTTGGTGCTAACTGATGGTTTCTGGTAGCAGTCAGGAAGGGTAAAGGTGACAACAGCACAGAGGCTGAACCATCCCTGCATTTGAAAAGCAGCATCCCAAGACAGAATTCAGGCACCTGGTCCATGTACTGACTTTGCCATATATGATGCCTGCTGTCAGCCTACTGGGCTACAGCAAAATAGCAAAAGTGCAGTTGGTTTTTCTTTTGAAAGAGCAACCTGTTTCATTGAAATAGTTTTGAGACAAACAATTAGGTGGTGCTGGGTTTTTTGAATGTTACTGCACTTCCTTTGAATGGATTTGCTTGTGCAGTTCCCCCAGGAGCTTCAGCCATTTGGGATGGTGCAGGCTGAGTGCTCCCTTCTGTGAGCACCGTGCATGTTAGAGCAATTTAATTGCACAGGGCATCAGTAGATTTTATGTGCTGGTTTCACCTTACCCTGAGGAAGCCCCTGTAACTGTGTGAGGGGGAAAAAGGGACCAGAAAACAGCAGCTAAAGCCAAGGGGAAGATCCATCAAAGGCAGGTCACTCAGCAGCTGTAGTGCCAGCAGGTGTGACATCACCCTCCCCCCGGGTGTGTGAAAAGCAGATTTCTGAAAGCTATGACACCTGAAAGCTTCAGTACGTACAGCAGGGGCTGGAGGGAGGAAAACTGTCTGAATCCTCACCTGGAGCAAATGGCCAATCAAAAGAGAAGGTGGCAAAGCCCTCTTTGTGCAAGAGATGGGGATGGTGACATCTCCTTTAGACTAGCATCACACTGGGACATTTCTGATGCAGAGCTGTTTCTGCAGAGGCTATGCTGCATCAGCGAGGCCCTGGCTGCTGAGAGGAGTGAAGGCAGCTCTGAAACTGTGCAGCATCAAGGGCATCGTGTGTGAGCCACAGCAAGCAGGCAGCATGGGAACCACTTCCCTTCTCTTCTCAAGAACTGGGGCTGCATAAGCACAAGGCACAGAAGTGCCTTAGGATGAATCCCACTTCTGGTTGGATTGCTGGCTGCTGGGCTGAGGCTTCTGGTCTCTGGCTTGCAATCCTGAGCCTTGTGACATAACTAGTTAGGAATTACAAGCCGATATCTTATCGTGGTATCTTTATCATGTGTCTTACGTTCAAAGCTGAATCGCAGTGTAACATTGACTTCTGGGCAATGATCCCTGAGAAGAATAAACGGTCTGATGTTACCTATCATCTATAGCTTGTACATGGAGAAAACTATGGAAAGTATTTCCTACTGGAAATAATTTTTTTTTTCAAGACAAAGGCATGATCACTTGAAATGCACTGCACGATTGCAGTGTGGTCATGGGGAGGTTAGATGCAATTGGTTTTGTCTTGCTCTTGCCAGTGACGTTTTTTATGATATCTTCTTATCTCTTCTTTTACAACATGTGTGTGCTAAGTATACTCTTGAAACCTGGAGGAAAAAAATCACATTGACGTATAAATGTTATCAAATGATCTCTGACCAATTATTAATTCCTGGGTAGCAATTGAAACTGTGCAATAATTTAGGTTGAGTGAGAACTTTGAAGGCCATCTGATATAAACCTGTATGGAAAGCAGTGTTGCTTTTGTCTCCTCTTGGGTGAAACAGATTGTAGTATCTGCCTAATGCTTTCCCAAATGTTGGGATGTAATCGCACATTGTCTCTTGGTAATCATGCAGGAGGTTCTGGAGCACCAGAGCCTTCTGAAATAAATATCCACTAGCACCAGAAATAAATATTCTACTATCACTTGTGGAAGCTACAGAGGGCTGAGTTCTTTCTGCATGACCAATGTAAGGATGTGTAGTGCTGCTCAGCGCTGACATCTGGGTAATGCATGGAGACTGCTGTCATACTCTGGAGTTGCAATGGCTTATTTAAAGACTACATATAATCAGTGTATTTACTCCAAGGTGATCAGCAGGAGAATACAAGCATGGGGCTTATTTGCTATGAACAATTAAACTGACTTAAGCATCTTCAGAGTGTTTTGAAACCACAGTGCACTCCAGTGCACCACCACATATGGTTGGGTAAATTCCTCTTCATCTTTGCCATCGACTGCAACATTTTCCTACCCCAGTTTATGAATTGATTTGGAAGGTTAAAGGGAGGTGTGGCTTAATTTAGTAATCTTTTCTCACACTTGTGACCCGAATCAGAATTCAAGTTCTGGCTGGTGAATGGAAAGATTGCATAATTAGTTGTTTCTACTGAGCTATACGATAGAATTCCCTCCTTTGAATCTATTCTGTATTTGCCATAGCAATATCAGTACTACACCAGATATAGCAAGGCTCTATTTACAGTGATAGTGTACATAGTCCTCTGTTTTTTTCTGGTGTTTTTTTTTTTTTTTTCTTAGGCAATTAGGATTTCCCTTGGATCCTACTTGTTTCACAAGAACATCTCCCCTCATATTTTCTTCATGCAATCTGATTTTCACGTGTACGTGAATCTGACAGCTTGAACCTGGGGAATTCAGGTCATTACAGATTATGAAGTTTGTTTGACCCATGCTAGTCACCTGTTATGTTTTTCTCAAGATGCTCTCTTCAGTCAAGAAAGACAGGAAGCACTGAAAGTTTCTGCTTCTATATGTCAATAGAATACTTCCAAATTTGTTTTTTGTAGTTGTTGCAAAGGGATTGTTTCAAGAGTGATAATAAATAAAAAATAGTGGTCTACTGTTTATCTTCCTGAAGCACTCCTAATAGGTAAAGGCATGAAATGCTGATGTATATTTCTGTGTGAACGACAGATACAGAAAGAACCAGCACTTTCTATGCCAAATTGTATTTTTAAAAGAAAAATCTCTAGAACTGAAGAAAACGAATAATGTGATTTGCCATAACACAAGTTTCAATATTTTTTCCTTTCTCTACCTCTGAAAGTAT